ACCAGTTTTTTTGCATTGAAATAATTAATAACCCCTAACTTTCTGCTCGAAAGTATCTATTAATTTGCGCTGTGGCCAATCGTTGAGATAATCATGCGATAATATTATAGGTATGCATTAATGTATTATTTAACGTACACTGCGATTATGATTGATCCAAATTTTGTTATGTTAATATTTCGTAGCTGTTTAAATTTTAAAATGAATTTCAACAATAGTAATGCATTCATTATTTGTTATACCTATGTGTGTTTATTGTTTTAATAAACGCAAAAGTTTATTTGAAAATAGCATGCTTGATACCTATAATACAGTTTGTAAATATATATAATAGATTTTTATTTGTATAAATAAGTCGCCGGTAAAAGCATTTTTTTGTCACACAATCGTATATTATTTTACAAGCATATTAAAAATTAGACTGTAATCGCGTTTATTGGTAGTTTGTAGGTACGACTAACGTAGGCACAACCAAACAATCGTTATGCCTTTTGGAAGCGATTTCACAAATGCAAAATTCGATTTGAAACACATTACGTTTAGTCGTTCGAAGCACATTAAATAATTTGTATTTGCGCGGGCCCGTCACAATGCGAGTAATCTCTTTCAATGGGGTTTGCGGATCATTAGTAATTTAGTTTCGTCCCTGAATTCGTCTGTGCATTGTACGTATTGATCAGTCTGTAAAATGGTATAGTGCACTAACGACTGAGGAATTTAGATGTAGGTACAAATAATATAATGAGCGATTAACAGCGATATTTTAAACGTAGCTGATTAATATCATTGAAAATCATACACATTTTGAATGATTTCGAAATGTCACTTTAATCACTTATTTGGAACACAAGCTTTTGTATAGAAAACTAAAATACAAATACTATAACTGAAACGCACAAAACGAACAAAGCTACCACTTAATAATTGTATCTAATTTTTTTTATGTTCACAACAAGTAGACTGCCAAGCTTTTATTTTTACATGCGTTTAAGTACCAATTACGGTATTCGTGGTAGTCAACATGTGAAATAGTTTTTGTAAAACATTTATACAACACGATAAAATGGATGTTTTTTAATAATGAATTTTCAAAATGTATAATTCTCTACATTACAAAAATAAATATATTTACCATGTAGGCATAGAAAGATAGATATATGTTATTTGTGTTAATTGCAATCGATAACTATTTTTTTTCGTGACTATCTATTAGAAAAAAAGTTAAGAGTATACACACTTGATGCAGATACATCAATACATGAATATGTCCTGATAATTATATGATTATTTTCGAGCCACATGCACATATTTTCTATAGGAACGTTCAGCGTGATTCGCTGATTTTCTTATTGACCCCCAGCCAAACGACATATGATTCTTAGGAATATTATACTATGTTTTTTTTACGATATATAACAGTATTTTATTTTTCAAAACGTATAAAGTAACAACAATTGTCTATTACCTCAATATAATTCGTAAGTAAACAAAGTATATGTGTCTATATCTATGTTACTACACTATTAAGAGATAAAAACAAACAAATGTTGAATGATATTACTCCATAGATTATAATAAATTAAAATAATTCAAAAATACTTGAAAGACGTTTCTTATTTAATTGATCATATTATAGATTTTAATTAGTATCGTCAAACCCTGACATCAATAACCAGAACTTTGGGTTGCAGTATTTCATCAAAGCTTATGGTTATCCGTAGTCGACGATGTATGCAGTATGCTGTCATCCTTGGAGTACGTTCATATGAACAGTTACACGGAAATCTCATCAACCGCAATGTAATCAACCATAACACAATTATGCTAAATATACAAAGAAAATTATATCTAGATCGGAAACAGTCATTTTGCAAGTGTGTTAGTCCGGATCGGTACAATAATTTATCTAATTGAGACTATACTTTTGTCGTTATACTTCTTATTGCTATTTTACCTGTTTTGTATACTTTTATGTAAAGTGTACTTAAAGTTGTCGAAATTATCTTTGGTGAGGTTCAGTTATATATGTATTCAGGGCGGCTACGATGATGGCCGAAATAAATTAATAATAATAAAAATAAAAATAATGATACATCTAAACTTGGTTAATCGTTGCCGTGCCTTTTGAGAGACGCTCGCTGGAACCTATTTGTTTAATGTGTTGAAGTTTCTCTTCCACTCGTTGGTCCGACCACCGTCTAGCAATGTGTTTTTCTCAAGTTTACCGACAGAAAAATATAGATCGTCTTCCATTTTGGCGGCAACACAATAAATGCGCCGTGATTGATGCAAAGGTTACGTTAAAAATGATTATGGTCGAGCACGGTATTAAGTATCTAATTAACTATCACCCTCCTCGTCTTTCCGCCCAGGTTTTTAACGACTTTTTCATTTCTTATCCGCCCAACAATGGGCCCAATGTAAGGACAAAATATGTCTGTTTCCGAAATTTGACCTTTACGTTTAACGATGACGTTAGGCGCGGTCATTGGCACAGGCTGACGTTTACAGTTTACTCCTGCACACTATCGGATTACAGAATAATTATATACTTACAAGCTTGCGTTGTCACGATTGTTGTTCAATTCGGCGCTACCGAGTAGAAAACGAAATGTATGGGGACAATAAAAACCAATTCAGTTCATTTCAAGAACTATTTGTTAAATATTCAACTCAGCGGTACACTGAGGGATACTAATTGTAAATAGTTTGATTTATATAATTTCTATACAGACTATTTAAAAATATCCACTCAATACTTCGTTGCAAATACGGGGTGCATACATTTTGATTTTATGATACATAAGTCTTGCATGAAAAACAAGCAAACGTATTAGTTTATCGTTCTAGTATTTGTGTTCACATTTCTAGTCCTTATTTACTTGAAATAAATGGAAACGATTAAAAAAAATATTAATAACGTTGGCAACACTTTTGTGCTTATGGTCTTATACTAACTCATATAAATTTAAAACCGTAACGGTTGCTAGGGTTTAATATGATCTAGACGGGTTATACAAAATATGTAGATGAATTATTTAATGATAAAAAACCATACATGTTTTTTTGTCAATTTCTTCCCAAACGGCACTATGTAATACATAAGTAATTCTCCGTTTTCCGAGTATTTTTATTAATATCGGAAACCGTTTCTCATTATTTACTGTGCATTATTATAATATTCATACCTTAACAGCTAATCTGTATGTTAGATCATTATATTATTGTATAAGGAAACATTTTCCATGTTTGATTTCTCAGTAACACTGTATTTTAATTGAAATGTTTTTTTTATTAAAAATGTACGAATCGAGAGGAAATAAAGTCCATTAGTAAATACACAACATAAATAGAAAAGCAAGAGTTGGAAAAAATGCAACAGCAAAATACAGTGTTTAGTAAAATTTAAATATATATTTTTATTTAATATTTGTATTCGTTATTTAATCATTTTTACTATAGTAGGTTCTTAGAATTTAGGCAACTTGTATACTATAGAAATACAAATTTTAAAAATAAATTATCGTTATTTAGGAGACAGTATTATTATAATATTTAACATATTAAATTATGTTTTTAATGAATCATCAGTTAGATATTTAAGTTAGGAAATAAAAAAAAAAATCAAGATTTTTAATATTTAAAATTAAATCGTCGTTTATTTATCGTTAAATAGTTTAGTTGATTTATGAGTGTTTAAATTCAGACGATATTTATAAAATAATTTTTTGAACTAAAACTTATTTTTGAAACAAAAAACAAAATAAACAATGTATTATTCAATTATTCCTACGTCCTACGGTCTATTTAAAGTTATAATATGTTAGCCATAAGCCATTGTAGTTGTCAGTGATGGGTTAAAGTAAATAAAGCATTTCTACTAGGGACGTGCGAATAACGATGAATTGAATTAAATAAAGAGTTCAATATTGAGTATTTAACAATAATATTTATATAATCATCATTATTTATAATACAATTTAATATAATTATTCATGAGTATTTCGTTGATTTGGTTGGATGAATAATGAAGTTCAGTAATGACAGTTCATGAATAACCATTATTGCATTTTTTGTAAATAATTAATAAAACAGTAATTATATTATTTGGTAAATATTATTATTTATTTATTGTTTATTATTCATCTAGTCAATGATTAAAATGGACGAGCCTATGCTGAACTTCAAAGATAAAACTTTAATTTAAATGTATTGCTTGTGTTAAAATATATGGTTTAAGTCTTAATTTATTAACTAAAACGTATATATTTTACCCTAAATAAAGCATCAGATATTGTTAGAGTCTCTTAAAAGTTTAATTTTTTTTTTTAAACCTCAACACATTTACTGTAATATGATATATTTATAATTCCAATGCAATCAGATTACAACATGTAGGTTTGACAAAACGTGGGATATTCAAAGTCCTAAAACATTCATACACGGATAGACGTTCAACTTATGTATCAGGAAAAACTAAAAAAAAGAATTGTTTTTATTATTAATTTTAATCAATTTTTTTTAAATTAAATTTCGTAAACTAAATTGAAAAAGTAACACAAATTTTCGGTTTTTTGAATAATTTTTTTTTCAAATAAATAAGCGTACTTTTAGATTGAGTAATTTTTGATAATTCAATTCGTTGATAAATTAATTAAAATTTGAATAATCTCTAATAAACCCCTCATTTCTACACTATCATAATGATAACGTACTTTATTTAAATGCATGTCATAGCTACACAATTTTTATTTGTTGATTAGGTAAATTTATCTTTAATTTAAGTCATATTATACATTTATTCATAAGTATTTTTTGGCTACTATGTTGCTTAATAGCAGCATAGTATATATAGCTTATATACAATTTAAGTTTAGAGCTTCATATATACTCTATGTATATAACATATATCATACCTATCATATTATACTTAGATATTTATTTTGATGATAATTTTGATATAGTTTAACATTTAGAGTTATAATAAAAACTTGACTTACCCTATCATTGGTCTGTTAAATTCAGCGTTTTGGTTTTACATAACTGCGATTGTTTACCTGTTAATGAAAAGAGATTTAAGTATATTAAAAAAATTAAACGTATGTTTTTACAAAAAAAAGTAAATTATACATTTGTTACTGTATACCGAACAATCGCATTACGCTTAAATATTTTTTATTATTTTTTTCGTGTACAATTCCACGGATAGGAAACTAAAATATATAATAATATAGTAGGACATAAAAATTGACCATTTTCTAGCTTAGAGTTGAATAAACGTAGTGATTAAATGACATTAAATCTACGTCGACCATACAATTATTCTTATTTTAATAACGGACTTGTTCTTCTTATTTTACACTGTTTCTAAAAAATCATTCTTTAATGTACCTTTAATGCACATTTTACACCATTTTTAAACTCATATATATTTTTAAATCTCAGACCTATCGAGATATTTTTGATTTCTCAATGAGAGAGCCGCGAAAATTACTTGGAAAATGTTTTGTCTAGTCTTGGAATGGAAGTAAGATCATATGTACATATTCTTATTTAAAATAGAACGACTTAGGGTGTCACCAGCTCTAAAGGGGAATTTTTTTTATGAAATAAATGTTCCCTGTGTGTCACCGGCCTTAACATTCTACCCGTGTGTATATTTGTATGTTTTTTTTGTTTATTTTAGCATGACAATCAATAGGTCTTAAACACTATAAATTTATTTAATTAAAAAAAAACTAAAATATTTTGATTTTAAGGAAGTTTAAGTCAATAATATGGCAGTTTCTTTTAATTCTTTTTTTCTTCTTTTTTTATATAAAGCCTTTAATAATACCTTTTTAATTGTTGCTGCTCTCATTTCATAATTTATATTGTGTAAACATCATTATTAAAATAATTTATTTTAGATTTTATAATAATAATAATTGTAAAAAGTATATTTGCGAGTAGATTGAACTCGCGTTGTTTGTTTGAATGCAATTTATTGTTTCAGCTTAATATGAATAATTAAATGACTAATGGCATGCCACCAACACGCCATAACCAAAAAATATGTATTTTAATTAATTACTTAACCTGCTAAACAACACACTTATTGATTATGTTTTATGATATATAAGAGTTATTACCTATTTGATTATAATTGCTGTTGCAATTAAGTAGACGTATGTAATTTTTCAGTTTGAAACATTTTAAATTTTAATATGGACTATATTGGCACAAATCTCAATGTTCAAGTTTTTGTTTATTCACATTTTAGCAAATGCGCTGAGTGGATACATACATACATGATATTGGATTTTGCTGCAACATATGTGTGCTGTCTGATTTAATGTTTGATTTGGACACAAGGTTGCAGAAGTCGCATGTTCAACCTTTGAATGTGACAAACTGTCCTGTTTTGTTTTTGGGAAGGTTTTTATTTATCATAACCTCAGTCAGTCGACATAGTAAAAAAAATAAAAACATTTTTCAGGTTCGACAAAAAAAAGCAATAATAGATTTAGAATTATCGGAAAAATAGCCAAAAAAGTAAATAAATAAAAAATAAGAAATAGTGATTATTGATTAATGCGCTGTTTCCTGTCAAATGCCAAAACTACGGGTTTGAACATGCTGCAAAGGCACTATTTGGAATTTAATTAAAAAGGTACTATCAAATAAATGCGTACGACTAAAACAAAGTGGTTTGTTTAACCGATTATTTATAATATTGTCCTACTAATTTTAACCTAACCTTGAAATGATTATGATGAAGTGTGTTCAATGTTTTGATTTTTTTGTTTTACGAATACGAATTGTATTTTTATTTGCTATGTAAATATAATTATAAAATTCACGTTGTGTTGGCACACTAATATATCATACAATTTTGCAAGTTTTAATATACAACATGCCCTTAAGGTAAAATAAAGTATTATTTTTGTTACTTATAATATCAGCTACGTTAATATTAAACATACAAAATAACAACATTTTTTTTTTAAAGGAGTTCAGACTAGCAAATTGTAAGCTCACGGTCCTCTATTATCCATTAAAAATGTACATTCTTTTCAATTTAAGAACTCTTAGTATTAGTAAAATGTAGATCTTTAGGATTGTATTTAATCATTTATATTAACTAACTATAAAAAAAAAAGTTTTTAGTCTCTTTCAAGTGATAAGAATTTCATGTTTAACTCTCTATTATTTTCGTATATGGAATTTTTAATGCTTAAAAAATGTGATTATTAATTTATTTCATCTAAGTAATTATTGTTATTATTTTAACGTATCCCAGAACGAATACGGTAGTGATGTTAATAGCTTTGCACATCTTATAATTAACTTAAATATTTATATTGTTAATAAAAGTTTAAGACCTGTTGCTAATTATGAACAAGTTGTGTCCCAAAGATAAAATATAATTGGGAGAGGATGGGACAAATTTGTGCTCGGTTTAATTAAAATATTTATAGTGGTTAAAAAAGTTTACAAAAATTAAGAAGGTTAAGTAAAGTAGGTATGACCAACCTTCAGTATTTTTGTTAAACCTTTTTAAACTAATATAAACAGTTTAATTAAATCCAGTTCAAATCCATCCCACGTTCAAATATCCGCCATCCTCGCCTACATTATTCTGCGAGTTGTGGGATTGCAGCACGTCGGTAAATAACGGAATAAATCAAAACTACAAAACCTAAACAAAGGTTTCTCTGAGGGTCTTAATAACGTTCAAGACTGTAGGGTAGGAGAGAGTAAGGAGAATGATGAATTATTAGTGGGCAACAGCTTCTCGTTGTGACGTATACTGATAACATAGGAACCTACCGAAAGTGAAAGGTGACAAAGTGGAAGTGACGCTACGTTAAAGTGCACTTTTGAGAATATTATACCATGTAATTAAAAATGTAGCCATCCTCTGTTATTTCTGACACGATCAAAAAATATGATCATGTAAACTTATTTATTAATACTCGTCAATTATGCATATTTCTTTTTCCTTTATGTGTAGAATATCACATAGTTATTTTGCTGTAACTGATTATTATTATTATTGAATTATGTTGTCGATAACCAGTTACGGGTAACTATTTTTGAAGTTATTGCAGTTTCAAGTTTAAAACAGGAGGAAAAGTGGAGTGTAGTATTATTTTTATCTGAGCGCATCTCCCAACCGCACTTCCCCTCCCATCCTAACTTTAAAACTCTTATAACTTTAAAACTAGTTATTTACCAGTCAACATTTTTAATACATTATTCTCAATTTAAAAAATGTATAAAATATATGCGTTACCATTTAAGTTTGAAAAGTTGCTATCAAAAAAACTAAGTTGGGAGGGGGGTAAGAATAAAAAAAAATTGTGAAAAATTGAATCACATTGTATAACAACAATATGAAAAAAAAATGTTTTAATTTATTATTAAACCCTATGAGATATTGAGTGGTTCATTATAAAAGAATCACCCTGTATATTTTACCGTGTATTTATATACTTGAGTTTGATTGGCTGCCCGTTACGCTGAAATATTTGTTTTTATCATCGAATATTTGATCTTCAGTATGATACCAGAATAACAGAATAGGCAAAAATAAAATACACATAACATAAGTTTTAATACTTTTAACGGTGAGGTTATAGAATACATTTTAGAAACGTCGAATTTCATGACACTTTGTTTTAGTATAGTTGCTTGGGAAACGTAATAATAGATGGATTGCATTTTTGACTGGAGATCAGACTGGAGTCAAATGAAACCAATTTCGTAAAAAAATTATATTTATTTTACGAAATTGTATTAAAATAGTAGCTTAAAGCAATCCAATGGATTTGATAGTTATTTACCATGTCAATTGACTTTTTTACGATAAAATTGAACGCGTGTAAACGCGTCTACCAGGAATGATTTATTCCATTTTCCTTTAGTCTTGTAAAAAAAAGTATTAACAGTTATGCTATAAAATATGACACTAGAAACGTCAGAAAGCTAGACCAAAGCTATAATTGTATTACTGAACAAGATGGGGGGATACAACTAAATGTAGCAGCGAAAAAGAGATATCGCTTATTAGTTTAGCTTATAAGATATTTTTCATAGTGTTACTAAACCGCTTGATACCCTGCGCGTAAAAATGTTTAGGAGGATGCTAGTATGATTTTAACTAGTGTGGAAAAACGACTATAGAACTATTATTAATAATAAGACGCTTAGCAAAGAAACAATATTAATATCGCCAGAAAATCTAGCAGATGTTTGTCGACTTGTGAAATAGCGTCCATAGATTTAGTATTTACAACTTATGTGAACCTCATTATAATGTATATATAAGGAACAAAATACCAAGTTAGAGTAGAGAGAAAAATGTTTAGTGTTGCAAGAGGTGGATGATGTAGAAAAAGATTTGGGGAACAACTTAATACAACACAAGATCGAGATAAGATGAGGCATGAACTAATGCTACATGAGATTGCAGGCGTTTATACCAAAGTTCATGGAATATTTCATTAAACGCAATTCTACAAAGATAGTCATAGACTTATCACTTCATATGAATTGCGAATTCGTCGAAAATTCTAAGAGTATTATCTACCCTTGAGAATGCCACGCCGTGGTTAGGTACCTTTAGATGTTATTGTACATGACACAGGCATACTAACACATTCATAAGCAGATACCTGATGCACGGATAAATGATAATACTCAAGTGCTGTGCGGAATGCGGATTAGTAATACTATATATGTAAGTGTGTTCGAATTTTTACCCGACCACTAAAGAAAGAGAGTGATGTGTTAAGATGTAAAGAATGTATGTTACTTTGTTCCCGTTTTCTACTTTAACTTCTGAATAGATTCGTCGGGTGCTCTAGCCTCTAACTGTACTTCTATAACAATTGTTTAAAAGTGGGCGAAAATAAATGTTTAGAAACAAAAAGGAATAACGTAGGCACCCGACTATTATATTATTAATTTCTGTATTATATCATATTTAAAAAAAAAACAAATTAAGTTTTATACAAATTTTGTTCATTTTAGACTTTTTTTACAGTAGGGTTTTTGTTAAGTTAATTAAAAT